TCACAGCTATACATCCCATCTAGTGTGTTAGTGGGTACAACAAATTCTACCCTAATATCGGGATAAAATAACTTAAAGTAAATAAAAGAAGCGTCCTTAAAGGTAAAAATGCATTTTGTTAAACACTTAAGCTTCATCCTTCTTTAATAGTAACTCTAGCGTGGTATATTCATCCTGTAATAATTTAATATGTCCAAAAATCGTATTTCTTCAAGGGAAAGTTCTTAATTTATATTATCCGGTCTGTATTAATGCCGAACCTCCTGTGGTTTATTATAAATCCTAATCGAACTGGTTTCTTATTAATCGCGTTAATGTTAATGTGCAACAGGGTTTTGCATTTAAGGGGTTTTCCCCCCCCCCCCTTTCTTTCACATTAAATAGATATTGTTTAGGTAGGACTTGAAATTTTAATAAAGTTTCTTGCCGACAGCTAGCTCCTGTAATAAATTTGCGGTTACCTAGTTACAAGAAAGTTTCTCCTTTCCTAGATTTCTCTGAAAAATAGCTTTAAACATTTAATTTTTTGTATAACTTTTTTGCAAAACACACCAAATGACCAAAAATCTGAAATATTGATGCAAAAATGTATATGAAGCATGGTAATAAATTACATTTCCCTTTACAAAATCGTTTTTCTAATGATAAAATTTCCATTAGCAAATTTCAACTGATTAGATTAAAATGGTGACCGTAGTCTTTATGAACTGACCTTAATTTAAATTCAAATCAAGTAAAAATAAAAGGCGCAGGATTTTATAAAAAAAATATTTTGGGAAAATGGTATAGAATTCTGGATGACCGAATTGTCATCCAAATTGCTAAAATTTTTGTCCGTGACTGAGTGATCTATTTTGAATCTTTGTTTTTGATGTAAAATATTGTTTCCAACTTTGTCCAAATGGTAGAACTTAAAAGTACGATCACTAGAAGTATAAAAACCACGAAAAAATCTTTGGTGTATGTCGCATTCACATCTATAGCACTATTCTACTTTTTGTTTGTTTTTATCGTGTCGATTTCCTTTTAAAGCCTTGGCGAAAATGTAACCTACAATATTCCGTAGATGAGTTGTTCAACATTAAGCAATCTATTTAAACAAGAGAGCTCGCTTATTATGCCGATCAAACCGTCGGACTACGAACGTGTTTCGACTAGACAATTCTCACCTCGCCGTAAACATCCGTTTTTAATTTCCTCCAATTCTCCTCGAAAAAGAAGCTCGACAAAATCCAATCAGCACCTCGATCCGCAATCACTGCATTAAGTCAACAATTTCCTATTTTTAATTAAAACGAAATCTGCATTAAACATGATTGTTAATTTAGGTTTAACCAAATCCAAAAACTTACCCGCTTAATTGGTAGCAATAAACATCCCTGTGCGGAGCGAAATTTTGCGGCGATTCGCAATATAATTAAGATTTCCGAGTTAATGAGGAGTTTAATTACTCAAAGTTACAGACGTAGCGAATTGCACTTTAAATTCGGTTGCAGTTCACTTAATTACCGTGCAACAAATCGGAGGGATCGGAAAACGTGCTCTTGCAGGGAGTTATTGCCGTACTAATTACTGGCCTGGAACGTCTACAAAACGCAATAATTATGTAATGCTAGTGTATATATTGCAACTGTACCTCCAGTAATTAGTTAGTATACACGGCAAGAATTTCATTTTGGTGGCCAACCTAGTAATTAATGAAGCTTTGATCAGCGGTGGCTTTTGAGGTTCTTTGGTCGCTTTTCTCATTCCGCATTGTATTATATGTTCTTGTAACGACGTCCGATTCGGGGACACTAAAGTTGGAGAGCCGCGCAAATGTTATCTGTGCGTTTGTAATCCTTTATTCTATAATATTTGCACTGTTTGTTTACAATTTGCGTACAACTACAGACTAACATTGATTTTACTAACAATTTTCAGAGTATTGGATTAATGCTGCATTATTATAGCAAAATGCACCACATCGGTGACATGGCATACAAAAACAAGGCAGTTTTTTTAAATCCTGTTTGCGTATATGTAAAATGTAAAACAATAGCAATTTTTAGCCACAATGCGCATCTGTTTTTTTCTTGTTTTTATTTGAATATTAGTTTAAATACCGTACGTGTATTTACCCTCTAGAGCGTGCATTAATTTGGTTCCCCAATTACAAAAACCGAAGCATTGTTTGTGTTATTTTCATGTTCCATTATCCTCAGATAACCGATCAAATCTAAATCAGATCTTGGGGTAGGAATTTTAGAAAAAAATTGCAAAATCGAAATGGGAAACTTACTGTGTGTTACAGTTGCTAAGAAGAAAATTAAAAATTGAAGACTTGTGTTGGCAACAGTAAGAACATTTGTGTATATAGTTCCCACGTGAATACTTTGCATTTGACTTAATTGTAAAAATGTTTACGTTGGTTCCATTTACTTCTACCACTTTATTACATATTCAGAACTTTTATAAACGGTTGATTAACGAAATAGTTTCAATTTCGGTCCTTTGACAAGTAAACAAACTTAGAATGTACAAATGAGAGTATTATTACTACTATTAATAGAAAGGGCACAATCAATTGAAGATATATGTTTATCTTATTGGAAAACAACTCCCTCATTTTAAGGCAAACTATAATAAAATATTGTGGTAACCTACCCCTACGGTTAGGGAACGCACCTTACATTTGTAAAAATTGTTGATTTTACTTAACGAAGCTAAAAGAGAAGAAGTAAATTCGCCCTCGAAAATTCGCCCCCGGAATATTCGCCCCCGGAATATTCGCCCCCAAGTAAAATCGTCTCTCACCTGTAAAAGGCTGATTCAACGGATCAACGTCAACCGTATGTTTACAATACATTTTACAACAAATTGCGTTTACAAAGAAGTCTAATTACTTATGGATGTATTGAAATGTTTTTGGCATCAATGTATAAACAAAGGATGATTCTTTCTTTAGACTTACATTTGAAAATTGGTCCAGATTTGATGTAAATTTGTGTTGAAAAACACCAACATTGATGAAGTTTGCTGAAGTATCAAATCATAATTAAAATAATCTAAAAAAATCTAACTCGAAACATCCCATTTCTTTAAAATATAAAAAAAAGTTTGCTTATATATTTATTAGTTAAGTAGCAATTAGTCTGCTACGGTACTCTTGTACTCGTTCCAAATTCAGCCCGTCGGATCAGCCTTAAATTTGAGAATTTTTGTAAAAAATGTGCAAATGCCATAAAAGTTTTAAAATGTCCAAAGTATCCACTTGAGATCAAAAAATGTTGAACGTTGACCATTTACCAAAAATTTAGACCTTAAAAAGACAATGAATTTAGTATATACTTTGTGTCCTACTATTATGTATAAAAATGACAATACAGACACGTTTTTATTACTGATGCCATAAGAGTTCCTTTTTTGCTGTTGTCAGTTTGATTTTCAGATTTTTGTATTACGAAAGGTGAAATATTGTGTTTGATTTACAATAAAATAAACTCTTCGTCTATTAGGATTGTAATATTTAAAATCTTAGAAAATCGTGCACAAAATTCTTTTTTTTAAGTAAATCTAACTACCTAATTAAAAAATAATACAAAACTTACCAGCACCACGTGAAACCGATCTTCTTCAATACTCAAAACTATTTTTTCACACGAGTTTATACCAAACTCAAAATCCGTGTTCAAGCCAAGTATTGATCCGAAAGTTAAAAAAAGGCCGTAGAATCGTTAACCAAAAATCAAAGTTCGTATTCGCGCCAAAATATAACAAGTAGGAACATAAAAAGTTTCAAAACAAATACACCACCAATGACCAAACGAGCCATCAAACGTTCTGTTAGGAAGAAATTAAGAAGCTAACAACTCAGTCAATCAAAAATGTCATTTAAATTAGATTATATATTACCTTCTTTTGTAATACAAGAGTTAAGGTGGATTTTCCATATGTCATGTCTGAAATAATAGAAGTCATTAAGTCATTGTGAATACAGGATTTATTTCCTTTGGATGTCAAATCCTTTGCAAATCACCCTTACTTTATTCAACCTTATCTTAATTACCTATTCATATTTTAGTTAACAGGTATTTGAGTGCTATTATTCTACCCCCTTTATGTAGGTATACACAGTTATTACAAAAAAAATTAAAATTAAACAAAATTCATTTTATGAACTGCTGGCCCTGTTACCTCCGAGGATTAATAAATCTTATGGGGCGAATCCTACGGGAGCGGAATCGCCGGGGGCGAATCTTCCAGGAGCGAATTTGTCGGGGGACGAACTTGCCGGGGGCGAATTTTCCGGGGCGAATCTTTCTGGGGCGAATCTTACGGAGGCGAATAGTCCGGGGGCGAATTTACTTGGGGGCGAGTTTTCTTGGGGGCGAATATTCCGGGGGCGAATTTTCGGGGCGAATCTTTTACCGGGGCGAATAGTCCGGGGGCGAATTTACTTGGGGGCGAGTTTTCTTGGGGGCGAAT